CCTCATCAGTGACCCTGGATACTACCACCAATGAAATAACAGACCAAACCAAGCCTTTATACTAGCGAGGTATCGAAAATCAAACTGGTGTATTTAAGTGTTTTACACTCACAAAAAAGAAACCTATCATTCCATAGGTATTTGAAGAACTTGTAGCAATTTGCCACAATTTAATTCTTTATATTGTTAGCTGACACTGGGCAGCTTGGAATGGTCTATTCTTTCATTGAGGTGTGTGTCTGTGAGCCAGACTAGTTTCGGAGAATACCTCATTAGTATAAAGGCTTGGTTTGGTCTGATATTTCATTAGTGGTAGTGTCCAGGGTCTTTGATGAGGAGTGGAATTCTCAGAAACTAGTCTGGCTTACAGACACACACCCCAATGAAAGAATAGACCATTCCAAGCTTTTACTTGTTGTTAAATAAATGTTTAAACAACTCTACTTATTCAAAATATAAAGTGTTACAGAAAACAAACATTTGAAATGTATTTAGGAGGTTTTAGGATTACCCAAAGAAATGAGATTTGTGAGATGAGGAAAAGTATTTTTAATCCTAACACGAAAATCACTTTGCACATGGACTGTTAAAAACAAATACTCAATGTGTTCTTGGTCAAATCTTTATGTTAGTTTATTAAAAATACTTTGAGAGTTGAACAATATAAATAATACCCCAGTGGCTTAGCAGTAGACTTCAGAACTTAAATACTTCAATCCTGGGGTCCAATAGCTGTATTAATTTTACTGTATGTTATCATTAGAAAATTGCCTAGTACATTGATTTACATTTATTGTGTGTTTTCTTATGAACATTATCAATCATGCTGATTTACACTTATTGTGTGTTTTCTTATGAACATTATCAATCATGCTGATTTACACTTATTGTGTGTTTTCTTATGAACATTATCAATCATGCTGATTTACACTTATTGTGTGTTTTCTTATGAACATTATCAGTCATGCTGATTTACACTTATTGTATTACAGAAGCATTATCCAGTACACTTATTTACACAAACTGAATTACAGGAACATTATCCACTTCATTGATTTACACTTAATGTATTACAGGAGCATTATCCATCATGCTGATTTACACTTAATGTATTACAGGAACATAATCCACTACATTGATTTACACTTAATGTATTACAGGAGCATTATCCATCATGCTGATTTACACTTATTGTATTACAGGAGCATTATCTAGTACACTTATTTATACACACTGAATTACAGGAACATTATCCACCACATTGATTTAGACATATTGTATTACAGAAACATTATCCACTACATTGATTTAGACATATTGTATTACAGGAACATTATCCACTACATTGATTTAGACATATTGTATTACAGGAACATTATCCACTACATTGATTTAGACATATTGTATTACAGGAACATTATCCACTACATTGATTTATACATTGTATTACAGGAACATTATCCACTACATTGATTTATACATTGTATTACAGGAACATTATCCACTACACTGATTTAGACATATTGTATTACAGGAACATTATCCACTACATTGATTTACACTTATTGTATTGCAGGAACATTATCCATTATACTTACTTATACATATTGTGTTACAGGAACATTATTCACAACACTGATTTACACTTACTGTATTACAGGAACATTATCCATTATACTGATTTAAACATTGTATTACAGGAACACATTATCCACTTCTTTGATTTACACTTAGTGTATTACAGGAACACATTATCCACTTCTTTGATTTACACTTAGTGTATTACAGGAACACATTATCCACTTCTTTTGATTTACACTTAGTGTATTACAGGAACACATTATCCACTTCTTTGATTTACACTTAATGTATTACAAGAACACATTATCCACTTCTTTGATTTACACTTAATGTATTACAAGAACACATTATCCACTTCTTTGATTTACACTTAATATATTACAAGAACACATTATCCACTTCTTTGATTTACATTTATTGTATCACAAGAACATTATCCACTGCACTCATTTACACATATTGTATTACAGGAACATTATCCACTGCACTCATTTACACATATTGTATTACAGGAACATTATCCACTTCTTTGATTTACATTTATTGTATCACAAGAACATTATCCACTGCACTCATTTACACATATTGTATTACAGGAACATTATCCACTTCTTTGATTTATGCTTATTATATTTCTATTACATTATCCACTGCAGTGATGTACACTTGTTGTATTATAGGAACATTATACATTATACTGATTTACACACATTGTATTGCAGGAACATTATCCACTACACTGATTTACATATATTGTATTACAGTAACATTATCCAGTACACTCTTTTACACTTATTGTATCACAAGAACATTATCCACTACACTGATTTACATATATTGTATTACAGGAACATTATCCACTACAGTGATGTACACATATTGTATTACAGGAATATTATCCACTACAGTGATGTACACATATTGTATTACAGGAACATTATCCAGTACACTGATTTACACTTTGTATTATAAGAACATTATCCAGTACACTCTTTTACACTTATTGTATGTTAATATAGGAAAATTAAAAAAAAGATACTTAATCTACGGTTTTCTTAACACTTGATCCATGTGCTATGTAAAACCTCCACTTTAGTATGAGCTGAGTATAAACACACAAGCTAGCCATGTATATGAATGTTTAAATGATAATGTAGATCTATGTACACTTTTGACACGTAAGATACAAAGCCTTACAGATAAATTTATGAATCCTTGACAGGTGTTACACCCACCTTCTATACTTTGATGCAAGATCTACAATGTACATGTAGTTTGTTGACATAAGTGTATATAGTTATTTGAAAGAGCTTCGTTTACACTGAACTCCACCAATTGTTAAGTTGAAATTGGCATGAATGTTTCTCCACAGTGTACATGTAAGTGTGGTTAATGTTGTTGGTTACTTGATCAACTGTAACACTTACAATGGTTTCTTATCTAGGTATGCTATAGTTGGAGAGAGAGTTAAATTGTATTTAGGTCTTACTTTTATATTTTAGTTAAATTTGTATTATTTGTGTTTTAAAAATCATATTTGAAAGGTTTAATGATTTTTATAAGTTTAACCTATCACCTGGATTGTGAGATTATAAGGACAAGGCATGTACAAGTCTCCTCAGAGTTTATCGACAAAGACTTCATAGAGCCCCACAAACATCAGACAAAGAATTGGAAAGGAAAATTTAAAATATATATAAAATTTAAAGATGTGAAATTATGCATATGAGAAAAAGAAGACTATGCTAGTGAATTTCTACGAATAGTTGAAATGTATCTACATATTTCCATTTGTGTTCATTTTAAACCTTTCATTGTACTGTATGTTGGTGATAATATTTAAGAATTAGTGATATAGGAGAGAAAACAGAAAATAAAATATAAACATTTGCCTTAAAAAAACTTTTGATATTCATTTAGTAGGTTCTAGAGGTTATGCAAATGAAATGTGAAATAGCATTTTCATACTTCACATAAAAATCACCTTGCATGTGAACTACTCAGAGTTCAAGTGTAAGTAACAACATGAAATAACAAATTTTTTTTTAGAAAAAATATTAAATATTTTACTTTTCGGAAATTACATACTTTTAGGAATGTTCTTGTCAAATTTCAAACAATTTCTTCCACTAGTTTCATTTTTGAAAGACATTTCATGAGATTTATGTAATTTTCTTCCTCGATAAGTAAGTCATCCTGATAGGGTTAATATACTATGTACCATATTCTTTTGTAGCATACAATCATATCTCTACAAATTACATGCCCTACTCTTCTGTAGTATAAATCATATATGTACATTATAGATATTTTGATGATTTAATTAGCATCAATCCTTTAATAAGTAAGAATATCAGTAATATTTATCCTACAGTTTTACAAATCAAAAACATCTCAATATCAACTACTGAAGTACATTATTTAGATTTAGATAATTAATAATTATTGTAATATTTATAATAAAAGAAATGATTTTACATTTCAAATTTTTGAACTTCACTTGCCAAACAGTAATATACCAAATAATGCTATACAGAGCATTATACTTTCACAGTTACTCGGGTATTGTATAATTTTTAACAATGAACAGTTCATAATTTCCAACATTAATATATTAGTGAATAAACTGATTTGTAATGGATTTAATAAGATAACTCTAATTAAATATCTTAAATTAAATATACAAAATATGTATAAGTTTAAAAATAGTAGTATAAATGAAGTCATAATAAACACAATAAGTAATAATTTCTAATTTTTGTAGGGAAAATTATTGAAATCACTTATTTGGACTATCTTGCATAGGTGTATTAATGTAGGTGTATAACTTTTCCTATATCAGAGCCCCCCAGAGGCACAGTGGTATGTCTGCGGACTTACAGCGCTAGAAACCGGGTTTTGATACCCATAGTGGGCAGAGCACAGATAGCCCATTGTGCATAAATTCAAACAAACAAACCTATGTATGACCTGCTACTATGTAATTCTTGTAGAAACTTCAAAGATCTTGACAGTAGCATGGATGGGTGGAGGTTGGGAGCTATACAAACAGTTTAGGTTGGGCTTGTATAATAATACCTTAACATAGTGGTATTTATATCCAAACATCATTATGGGGTCTGGAATGCCAACTTTAAGGACAGTTTTGCTGTCTTCCCCATTGATGTATTGTATTTCAGTTATTTCTTTCTTCTTAAATTTATTTATTTTTAGCAGCCACCTTCCCACATCTGGCTGCAGACAACGAAAGGTGGTAAAGATGTGGGACATTGTTGGCTAGAGCACCCACATCTGCTCTTTTTTTAAATGTTATTATTATTAAGAATGTGAGGCCTGTAAAACTGTAGTTAAACTGGATAGACAGTGTACCCCAATGCAATTTGGGTCTTACTTCCACCAGTACCTTAAAAACCAGGGCACTTTACATAACTACCCACCTTATGGTGTGTGCCCAGGTGGTACATGTCTGTTTTGTAGCTGCGTTGTTTCTATTTTCTTTTTTGCTTTCATTTTCTACATAATATTACAATTAATTACGTAATGAAATAAATAGATTCAAGACTATTAATTACATTAATTGTTAATAGGTGATTAAAATCAGTACTATAAAACAATAATGAACTTTGCCCCTGAAGAAGAAAGGTGCATCTTTCGAAAGTGCTCAGGTTATGGGGTTTTTATTCATTTCTATCAAGACTTCTTGAACCTACGTGTTTTTCTGACATCATGAACTTAATATAAAATAAGCATTAAGAAGATTTTAGTAAAGAATCAATTTTCAATGTTAGTTGTCACCTTAAAGTTGTAATGGATAATGTGTGTGGTAATAGCTCCCAAATGAATTGGGGTATCCTATCTACCAGACAAAAGTAGAAATGAAACCACCCTTACATTTCCACTATATGCAACTCCCAACCTCTGCCTTTACAAAAGAAATAAAATAAACTAATAAATGATCTTAAATAGAACTACAAGCCCTACCTTTATATTTCTTATGCAGTTCATATTCCCAACCTCCTCCCTTTCTCTTGAACATTGATTAAAGTATAACACGGGATAGCTGAGACAAGCCCAGCTACTTGAAATCAGTCTTTCTGTCCCAGTATGATGATAATGCTTTTATGGATAATGTTATATCATTCATAAATAAACTAGAAAATAAAGGCTACAAATACTGGCAATTAAGAAAAATTTTTACACTGTTTTCTAACAAATATGAAAATATTTTAAAAAATAAACTTTCAATACAGAAAATACCTTTTTGTCACTAGCAGTTGTTAGCTACTTTTAAGTAGTTATATTTAATATTCTAATTTTATTCAGTATACTGGGTGGAAAGTAGCTGGGCTTGTTTCAGCTCTCCTGTATTGTTGATTACATCTGGTTTATTTGTTAAATTTTATCAATGGAAGGATATCATTAAGATGGTTAAAGATACTTCTTGTTTCGTAACTATTACATATAAGCGTGTCATTAGCTTAGTCAGAACTATGGTGATTTTATAAGTAATTTTAAGACAATGGTTTCCATTCTTATTATAAATCAATTAATTATGTAACAGACCCTGAATTAATATACCAAACAAAGATCCGTGTGGTATCAGAATTGGGATGTAGATATGATAGCACTGAACTTTTATTGCTTATTCTGAAATGCTTTATTAATACGTTTTTACAGGACGCACGTTTCCCAGCCATCCTTATTTCTCTCAACCTCTTGGTCCTGGTCAACTTGCTCTCTTCAATCTGTTGAAGGCCTACTCACTACTCGACACTGAGGTTGGTTACTGTCAAGGGCTCAGTTTCGTAGCAGGGATCCTGTTGCTTCATGTTAGTATCATTCAGTCACAATATTAGTATTAGTTATGGTAACTTTTGGTCAAATCTATTATAGTAGTATTGTTTGCGGTAACTTTCAGTCAAATTTATAATAGTGGTATTGTTTACGGTAACTTTCAGTCTAGTTTATAATAGTAGTATTGGTTGTGGTAACTTTCAGTCAAATTTATAATAGTGGTATTGTTTACGGTAACTTTCAGTCTAGTTTATAATAGTAGTATTGGTTGTGGTAACTTTCAGTCAAATTTATAATAGTGGTATTGTTTACGGTAACTTTCAGTCAAATTTATAATAGTGGTATTGTTTACGGTAACTTTCAGTCTAGTTTATAATAGTAGTATTGGTTGTGGTAACTTTCAGTCAAATTTATAATAGTGGTATTGTTTACGGTAACTTTCAGTCTAGTTTGTAATAGTGGTATTGTTTATGGTAACTTTCAGTCAAATTTATAATAGTGGTATTGGTTGCAGTAACTTTCAGTCAAATTTATAATAATGATATTGTTTACGGTAACTTTCAGTGAAATTTATAACAATAATATTGTTTACGGTAACTTTCAATGAAATTTATAATAATAATATTGTATATGGTAACTTGCAGTCAAGTTTGTAATAGTAGTATTGTTTACGGTAACTTTCAGTCAAGTTTATAATAGTAGTATTGTTTACGGTAACTTTCAGTCTAGTTTATAATAGCAGTATTGTTTACGGTAACTTTCAGTCTAGTTTATAATAGTAGTATTGTGTACGGTAACTTTCAGTCATAAGTTTATAATACTAATATTGGTTGTAGTAACTTTCAGTCATAAGTTTATAATAGTAATATAGTTTGTGATAACAAAAAGCTTTGTAACCATGTAGTACACCATTTTGTAACTAGCTTAGCTTGTCAATCTTTATTATTTTGTAGTGCACCATTTCATAACCAGCTTAATTTATGAAGCTTTCTTACCATGTAGTACACCATTTTATAACCAGCTTAATTTATGAAGCTTTCTTACCATGTAGTACACCATTTTATAACCAGCTTAATTTATGAAGCTTTCTTACCATGTAGTGCACCATTTCATAACCAGCTTAGCTTGTTGAGCTTTGTTATCATAAAATACATTATTTTGTAAGTAGTTTATCTTGTGAAGCATGGATAATGTAATGTAACCACTTATCTCTGAGACTACAGATGGTAGGTTACTTATCCAGAAAGGTTTGTTCCTTTTTCCAGTTTTCTGATTTACAGCTTATATTTAGTTTCTAAATATTTTGTTGCACAAACAGGTATAGTGAACCAAGTTGTATGAAAACAACGTTGGAGAGGTGTAGGGTGGTGTGTGAAGCAACATCACACCAAGAGTTGAAATACTTTGTTACACTTGTGTATGATGTGTTTTCTCAATCTTTGAGTGAGGTTTCACCACAAAAGGCTCAAGCTTCTTGTCACTTTATGCATATCAACAATATATAATGAGAAAACAGAAGAATATGATGAAAACAATGTACTTCCCAAATTAAAAAAAACAACCTATTTTGTATTAGTTTTGTGTTACAAAGTAATTAATATTATTAAATGTAAATTTACAGATGTCGGAAGGACAAGCTTTCCAAATGATGAAACATATCCTCTTTCTTCTCGGATTCCGAAGGCAATATAAACCAGACATGGTAGCTTTACAGGTATGAGCAGTGCAGTTTCTTGGATTGTTTTATAATTCAGGTTTTTAGTGCCTCTTGAGAATGCTACTCTTAGAAAATACTAAATGAAATAAAAATATATTTTATACTGTTATCTTAATGCAATTATATTACAATCACTCCCTTAACCAACTTTCTGTAGTGGATTATGCTATTACCAGAGTTTTATGCAGTAAGGTGCTTTTATTTTCGTAAATATATCTTATTGTTACAACACTAATGTTTACTGTAATTTTACAAGAATGAATTAATTACAGAATACATTCCAATAATGGGTTTTTCACAATTTTTGCCATTTTCATGAGCAATCAAAATGAACATTCTTCATACCCCCCCCCTCTCTCACCCATTTCCCTCTAAAAATGTGTTCATAAAAGAGTGAAGTTCTTTGTAAATGAATGTTACAAGACATTTGTTCTCAAGTTTAGGGAAACAGAAGAGAGATGTTTAAATCCCCAAATTTTGTTGAAGTACTAGCTTTTGTAAGTTAGCCATTGATAACAAGCTAGGGACAATGCTGTATATTGTGGTAATTTAGATCTATGTTCATTGAGTTTTAGCTTTATTCAGCTAAATACTCTTCTTACTGTTTTATTAATCTGCTTCTGATTAGGTCCAGATGTATCAACTGTCTAGATTACTTCATGATCAACATCGTGATGTTTACTCCCACTTGGAGAGTTATGAAATTGGGCCAACACTATATGCAGCTCCATGGTTTCTCACTCTTTTTGCTTCTCAGTTCTCCTTAGGTTTTGTATCCAGGTTGTTTGGTGAGTCGGTTAATGAAGAATTTTAAATAAATTTGTGTTTATATTAACAATATAGAACAATCTAGGTTGTTTGGTGAGTCAGTTAAGTAGGAACCTGAAGTACAGTTGTATGTTTGTATTAAAAATGTAAATAAATCTAGGTTGATTGGTGAGTCAGTTAACCCTCTCGAGATGATTTACAGGTCAAAGACCATGTCATTGCATTTGTTGACTT